GTCCCCATCCCTGAGAACAAACCATATTTAAGAAGCCGTACAAGAGATGTAGTGCTGGAGCACGAAACAGTCCTTTGGGTCCCCTCCCTTTCCCTGTGCAGTGATCCACCGGGTCTGGCTCCCTGCAGCCCTACAAGGAAGTCACTGAAACCCCCAGCCCCAATTCTGCTTTCGTACTGGGGTGACCTTTCCTGTCCAGAGGTGCCCTCCAAGTGGGAATGAGCAGCATTCAGTGTGCCCAGCGCTCAGCCTCCATCGCCTCTGGGCAGCTCCAAACACCCTTCTGCCTGGCAGGGCTGTCCCCTGGGGTCTCACCAGGCCAGCAGCTATCATTCAGAGCTGCCTCAGAAACTGCTGACGGTGCCCTTGCTGCCCACAGTAGCTCTGAGAGCAGTGCCAGAGGAGATGGGCACCCCAGCCTCTCCCCGATGGTCGGAGCTGGAGCAGCCTTCTGGAGGAGGCTAGGATGCTCTCTTCACCATTGGATTTGGGACAAGCCACTGCCCTGATTCCCACTTATCAGCCTGGCTCCTGGCAAGAGATGGTGGGTGCTTCATTACCGGGAGGGTCCGATGCCTTCCCCGGGAGGCTGCAGAAATATCCCACCAGAGAGAGAAACCTCCCCTCGCAGCAGGTTCCTGCCCCATGGCCTGGTCCCACCGCAGAGCCCGGGGCGGAGAGACGAGTGTCTCTGTGTGTCTGTGGCCGTGTGTGTCCTGTCCTCCCCGTGTAGTGTAGGAGGCCTGTTGTCGCTGTGCATCGTGACTCCTCTGACTGTAGTGGAAACAGCTACACCAATAAACTCTTCACAGGAACCATGTCTGGCTCTCCGCTTTTGTTTGTTAATTGGCAATAAATTAAATTGATTGAAATTCCTCAACACAAAACTGTTTCTTGCCCACAACAGCAGCCAGCGAGGGAGCAAGCCCTAGCTGGATTGGGGACTGTCACCTTGTCACCCACTGCCAGCACGGAGGTAGGCTCTCTGCCACCATCACCAAGCAGGCTGGTTACTATGAGCCCAGCTGGAGCCCCCATGCTGGCTGCTGGAAACAGGAGGCTGAGCCCCATATTTAACCAGAAACAGGTATGAATGCCTGCTTGCATCCATACGCGTGTGCCTGCGTGCTCCGCAGTGCTCGGGGCCCAGCTCCTTACCCAGCCTGTAGCCACACGCCGAACGGCAAGGCCACGGGCTGAGCATGGAGGAAACATCTCATTAAACACAGGTTCCCTCCGTGCTTTCTTCCCAGGCAGGAGATGAGCCAGGTCCCCGTGAGCTGTGGCTGCCTGCAACCTACATGGTGATGGGTTGGATGTCATCCCGTCATGCTCTCCTGGGTGCTGCTGCAGGGAGCAGGCGGTGGTGCCACCTCCCGTGGTCAGGGTCACTGGCTGGTCCC